AAGCATCCAACTCTTGATTTCAGGTCAAGTTATGATCTGGGTCATGAGATCAAGCCCTGTGTTAGGCTCTGCACTGAGCATGGAGCCTCCTTGGGATTCTCTCTCCCCCCTATCCTTCTCTGCCCCTCACCCGCTCATGCTCTCTTTCTCTCACTCTCTCTCAAAATAAATCAACAACAACAACAGTTATTAAAAAAGAAAAAAATGAAAGATGGCTACTAGATTACTGAGGCCAATATCACATTGATACTTTTACCATATCACATGATCTCAACATTGAGTTAAGTTTCTTTGTTTTGGTCCTTTTGATGTCTTTTTAAGCATACCACTATGGCAACAAAACTGCCTTGGCAAAAGCACATTTAATTAATCAATTTAAGAGTGAACAAGAATCCAGTACTTGGTGTTCTCCAATAAAGAGAGCAAAGAAAAAAATGGAAAGAAAGATAATCTAGGAGGGCAAAAAAGGAGTAGTTGCACAGGATCCTTAGATGGGGTATGGAGGGTTTTTCCCCAGACATTGTTTATTTTAAATCAAATTTATTTTTCTCAATATCTCTGTGAAAAAGAAAAAGTTCATTATCTGCATACACATATGAACTGAGGCAAGGGGCAGTCACATGACTTGTTTGAAATTATACAATTAAGTCAATGGCTGAACTGTAAACAAAACCAACGATTCCCAACTGCTAGTCGGCTGCTCTAACTAATGGATCATGCTCCCTGCTATGTAATAGGACTGTTTCCTTTAATTATGAGTTCTTCATTCACCATCAGCTTATCAGCCAGAGGTTTCATCATTGGTTTTGCTATTCTTGCATTCATGGCATTACTCTAAGTATATGAGACTTCCATGATAAAAAACATAAAGACTGCTACTTACTGTATCATACCAAATCTGAAAATTCCAACTGCAATGGCAAGGATACATCACCAAACCTGCACTTAATGGCACAGTTATAGGTAGAACTGCAATTCTAACACCTATTTGGGGTTGATCAGTGACCTGGAGAGAATGAATTGTGTTCTTTTAGATCCCAATTTCAGTGCACTTAAAATCTTACATTACAGCATTCTATGGTCTCATTAGTCAACAAAATCTGCAAATACAACCTGGAAGTAAAAGTCCCAAAGGTAGCAGATTGTTAAAGATACATTTTGGAGCATCTGTGATGCTGGGAACTAGACTAAGATAAAAATCATGAGATATTCTTACATTATACGCTAAAATCTATAAAAGAAAATTTATTGGGTAAACAAAGTAAATTGCTGAAAAGACGTATGCAGTCACTTGTCTTTGAGAAGCACTTTGTGTTTCTTTGGCACAGATCACGGCAGCAGTAGTAGCAGCAGCCTTGCCCTTGGTGCTGATTTCTTACTACTCTAAATGTCTCCTCTGAGCCAGAATACACTGGCTGTTGCTGATCATGCTGTGAGACACCTGCACTGGCTACTAGGCTTGTCATGACGCACAAAACCCTACCATCTTCAGCTTGACATTGTGCAAGTTATAATTATTCATCCAAATGAATATGTCAGAGCAGCAGCAGCAGACCTCTCATCAGAGCAAAAGAAAAATACATCAAAACATTATCAACCCAGCAGGAAGACAGGGACCATAAGGAAAATTACCCATTTTTAATATGGATGCCACAAAGCCATGCCTATTATTTCACAAAAAGAAAGGAAAATAAAGATCTTCCAAGTTTAAAGTCCAGAAACACTGAATCCAAAGAGGAAATGTACAAAAACAGACAAGGATTTTTTAAATCAATTATCTGGGACCTATTTACAATCTCGTAAACAGAAGTTTGTTGTTAGACTACGTTTATTTTGCTTAAGAACTACAACTGTTTAAAGATTGTTAAGAGAAAATAACTCCCACAAGCAAAATTGTTTCCAAAAAGGCAATGGAAAAAGACCATACAAAGTGGTCTGATAACTGCTTCTTACGCTTAAAATAAACCTTGCCAATACTCTTATCATGTCTAAAAGACTCAAGAGTTCATACCACTGGTAGAATCACCAAAATGCTTATGATGTATTGCTATGCTCGATGCTAAAACAGGTAAATAGTGTATTTTGAAAAATTTCTAAATTTTAATGGCAAATGTAAAAGAAAAACTGAAATCACCCCTAGACCTACAAAATGAAGACAAATCCAAATTTTATGAGCATATACTAAATAGCCAAGTGTAAATAAGAGTCCCAGCTCCTAATTAAATGTGAAGAAAACATATAACTTTTAGAATATTAGGAAACTATCTTTTCAGAACAAGATATGAAAGATTTTCTCATTCAAGACACAAAAAGCAGAAATCACAAGAAAGAGATGATACATGGGACCACACTGAAAGTTAAACTTCTGACTGACAGAAAAGATCATACACAAAGTTAACAAGTATGCCACAGAAAAAAGATACATTCCATGTAACCAACAACTGGTATCCAAATAAAAAAGGGACACTTACAATAAAAGACAAAATTTTAAATATACAAAGATTTTAAGTACCATAATGATGATTATCAATTCTTGTTAAAAATTAAGGTCAGACTACAGTCGGACTAAGACTTGGAAAGGATTTGGAAAAGTAGGTATTACTATGCAATCCTGGGTACGAGTGTAAACTTAGACAACCAATTTGGGAAGGCAATCTGGCAACATTTGGTAATCTCAAAGAGGCACATTCCTTTCAATCCAACATTTTCACTTCTAGGCATAAGCCACCCTAAAAGTCTCCCATGTGTACAAGGAAACATAAGGATGTTCACTAGAGCACTATCTAAGAAATTGTGAACAACCCTATCAGTATGGCAATGAAGAAGTTAACTGGTGGATTCATATAATGGAACTATATTAAGCATTTAAAGTAAATGTACTAAACATACAAAGACCATGGGTAAATCTCAGAAACAATGCTGTTTAAAAACTTCAGCCAGCCTGTATTATAGAATATGGCTTGAGCAAATGTGGCAAAAAAATATGCATGGATAGACCATGTATCAATTTCAGGAAGGTAGTTACCTCTAGAAAGGGACAGAAGAAAAGAAAAAGGAAAAAGAGGGAAATAAAGTCTTACTTGTTCCTAGAACATTTTATTCCTAAGAGAGAGACAGAAATAAAAGATGTAAGTGAAACAAACATGACAAAAAGTTAACATCTGTCAAATCAGAGTCTGTGGATAAAAAGGAAGGTAGCCAAATTTTCATCTGTGCTTTACCAAGAATTTTAGTATCTTCTTTAATTAAAAAATAAATAGGACATTCCAGTCACTAATTAGTTCTGTCTTCTTAGAGCTAGTACAAAACAGAAAACTTGCTGTATGACCTAATTAAATCTAAAATTCATCCCATGCTTAAATGTGCAAGGCATTGAGCTGGTGTTAAGGAGCGATAGAAACTTTGAAAGAAATTACCCTCAGAGACTTCCCAGTGTATTGAAATCACAAATTTTGCTAAATGACAGAATAAGGTAAGTGCTAACACTCTTTTTGTGGAGATGCAAACTTTTTCACAGATTTAAGTATGGGAAAAACCTGAGTTATCTACATTCAAAAACACTAGAAACTCATCAAAAGTATAGTCTTGGGATTTTGATATATATTAAAATATAATCTAGAGATAGCAGACCTGGAAAGAATAATACAAGCACAGTGTTATCTCGTAATCTCACACATAACGAAATTTACAGAGCCAACAGGACACGTGTATTTAAAAAAAAGGAAAATATATATTTTAAAAAGAGGAAGGCCAAACAGAAAATGTACATTTGGAAAAGAGGCAAAGTTTCTTTAAAAAAAAAAAAAAAAAATCAACACAGCATTTCTTAGATATTTATAACATATATCAGAATACCAAAAGCAAATCACAGGGGATTTCCTCTCCTTTATTTTGCTGTGTTTTCTCAATTTCCATCGAAAGGAGGGAGACTTTTGTTTTTAAAGAAAAAAATTAGAAAAATAATTTTTAACATGTATGTGATTAAAAGGATATTTGAACTTACATAACACTATTTAAATCCTGTTAGGTTTTTTAAAAAACTAACTACATATACAACCACTTGACTCTGTTTTTATTGAAAACATTAAGCATAAATTTTCACTTGGCCCTATCAAAATTTCCTAACACAAATATGGGCAGCCTAGAGAGTATCTGTAGAATGTCCACAGGAATGTTTTTCCCCCTCTTTGCGTAAGAATAGAAATGCTCTCTCCATCTTGCTATCAACTGCCACAATTTACTTGGTGAAAGAAGGACCCTGCCTGTCATCATTAGATTGTTCTTGGAGTCTAACCACCACTCTGTCAGATCTTTAAAAATCACACACACGTCATGTTGATGATGGTGCTACTAATACCCATACCACCTTGTATCTACATAATGCTGTTTACACTGCACTTCTAATTTCATCCTCTTGTTAAATTATCACCAACTTTTTATGAAATTAAATTGACAGAAGCAGGAGCAAGAATTTCCTACATTCTTTACATGAAGTATGAATGTTCCAAAGCCCACACAAAAATATAATCTAAGTTCAGGGATGAATTATGGGAACTCCTTTATAACAATAAAAACTGAGTGGAAATGATTTGTATTTTCAGTCATAACTCATTCTCCTATGAAAAATGATTCTCTGATATTATGCCATCAATATTAACAGTTTTAGCAATCTGAAAAATCCACTCAACTTTCCACTTACTGCTCACGGCTTTATAGAGTTCTTTATGATTTAAATTTAAAGGAAAATTCCTGTTATTAGACCTTCATATTTATCTACTATGAGGCATAAACATGTCAATACTGGATGGTGTGTTTACATGTGAGGTGAGGGAGAAAGTAGATATTAACTACTAGAAAATATGGAAAAAAAGCACTCTAAAAGTTCTGTTTATAAATAAATGCTTAGGAAAAAAACCTAAAAAGAAAAAAAAACACTCTATATATAACCTATAAAGGCCACTTATGCTTTTTAGCTACTTAAAATAAATTTAACAACTTACCTGTGGTGTCCAAGAAACAGAAAATGGAACAGGAAAATCCACAAAACAATCTGGTGATTCTGCAGGGTACTACAAAAAAGCATAAAATCAGGTGGTTTTTGCTTCTGTGTGGTAATTTCACACGAAGTATCTTAGAAAAACTGAATAGGAAAAGTTTTATTATAAATTCAAACGCATTATATACAAATATTTTGATTCTATTCTTATAGAAAATGTCAAGAGCTAATTAATAGTCAAGTTATGCTCAGGAGGTTCAAAGTTTGGTGACTGGGATGCCAAAGCACTGGGTTTTGAGTAAAGAATAATGAATTAATTCAGTGTCAGGTCACCTGTTAATGTAAGTTGAGGGGAGAACCACACAGGATCTCAGTTTCTTTATCTTTAAAACGAGAGATTTTTCATCTTTAAAACTGATTGGTATTTAATATCCTTTCAACCTAAAATTTAATCTCAGTCTCAGTCACTATTTAAAAATGCTGTTACAAATCTGTTAAAAGAATCATGAAATATACAAAAAATGTAAGCTATCAATTAAAAGAAGTATTTTCCACAACAAAGCAATTACTCCTAGCAAGAACATAAATAAAAAGAAGCAATGAAATGCTTTCTGGTTATTAAGGAAAAATAGAAGTAACAGCTTTAAGAAAAACCTTTTCATGGTTGATAAAGAGAAAATTAATTCAATACCTTCACACAAAAAGTGACAGTCATTAAGGACAAATCAGATGTCCAGGTTAAGAAAGACAAAGGCAATTTTTCCTAAAATCAATTTCATTATTATAGAATTGTACTACATGATTTCTGTAAAATCCAATTCTGGATTCTTGAAAGTCACATGTAATTATAAAATACTCATTTCTTTTTTCATTAAAAAGCAAAACTTACTAAGAGAAAATGAGTTTGGGGAAAACCTCTGTCTCTCATTTGAGAAAATGTTTAAAAGAAGTTTTAGACTTTCACTTTTTTCACTACTTCGCTGAATAAGCAAATGGGTTCCAAGAATTAGCACTACAGTATTTAGCACACGCCAGCCCATCCGAAGTCAATGTTTTGAAAAGAATTAACATCTAGTTATGATATGTGGTTTGCTAAAAAGAAGCTTATCGACATATTCTGATGGCACCTGACTACGCAGAACTGGTAACACAAAGGAAAGTATACAGGAAATCATATAAAAATATAATAATGATTTAATTTGGAGAAAAGGAAAAAAGAAGGTCAGGCTGAGACTGAGGGAGCTCTAGTACAATTCTAAATATCAGATTCTAAGTACTTCAGAATATAACTGTTATAATCACTACAAAAACGATCTGTAAGCCATTTTTACAAGTCCTGTGATTATCTCAAAGTAAGTGCAGGCAGAGACCTTAACTTTCTGATTTCTAGTTCTGCTAACTTGTATGATCTTGGACAAGTCATTTAACCTCCCTGGCTGTTTGATATGTAAAATTGATGAGACGCAACTAAAAGTCTTATAACATCTCTTCCCTCTAACATGTTAAGATTCTGTAAAAATAATAATGCACACTTGAAACCTCCACGGCCAAAAATGGAGTATCTAGTTCAATTTAAATCGCTGCTTTTTCTCTCCTACTCATGCCGACAATGAACAATATCAACTCTTTAACTTAATTCATCAATCTAGGGAAGAGTACAAAGTTAATGAAATGTTTACTGTATTGAGAGTAGCTGAACAAAGGAAAATAGCTGTTAATGTGGAAGTCATTTAGTACATACAGCAACATTATTTTAAAAGAAAATATGATCCTAATCCAAATAGGACTCAGTAAATAAGTATATACAGATACAGAAAGACCTACAGATAGTTAAAAAAGAGGTTAGAATAAATTTGATACGATCCCATATCCATAAATGAGTCTCCATAGAATTTTAGAATTTGAGATAAGAACATCTTTCAAATATATTTTTATGTATAATTATGCAGACATACAAATATAATCTATCTGTAGGTGACTTTATTGTAGAAGTTAAATGCAAATATACTGTATGTTATATTCATGTTCAACATCGATTTTGTTTATATAAGAAACTATACATAATTTTTTATAGAACCTAAAAAGCAAACTGATATACTTCTGGAAGACTTAACATGAATTATGAAGTAGGATCCTAGATATTTCAGAATCATTTGTGTGGTAGCACTAACTACAACACAGATGACTAATGCAATATTGTGAAACAGCTTTATCAAAATTCAGATAGTTTTTGATAGGAAGCTGTATAGATAGGTATATATAAAACCAGAGACTAATTGCCAAGTTTTCCTTTAGCAGTCTAAATGACAACAAAAGCTCCACATAAAGGGGCATTAATTAAAAAATAAGTGGTCAATCATTTTTATTAACAGTTTTTCAAATCTCACTTGAAACAATTCAATCAAATCAGTAATTATAAAAGAATTATCATAGCATATTAAGTAAATATTTTTATCATATATGGTATTTTTTAGACTCTGTAGCATATTGTTCTAAGGAAAATTTTAACCCAAATGTTCTGTGATTGGACCATCTAAGCAGCAAGGTTACTGCCAAGTAAATACATACAAACTGTAGCAAATTACAGAAACAGCCATCAGAGACAGAGTGCCCAGCCTCTGAAACATGTGATTTGGTTTTCAAGTAGTTCTGCCCTTGGCCAAAGCCGAGGAAGCTCTGGTCCACCAGGTATCGTAAATACTGCATAGAAATACACCTAGAAAAGTGACAAAATTCAACTGTTTCCCTTTTTTGATTTATGTACTTAATAGAGTGATTATTTAAAATTAATATTTTCTTTGAGGGTTGGAGACAGTGAGGGGGAATGGCAGAATTGGAAGAATATGTATTTAAGCAAAAAAATAAATGTGTTCTTTTACTACATATCAAAAAGTATCAGATATAAGAAATAAAGGTTTGTATATTTGCAAAGATAAGTGTGCTTTATGGTTTATTTTTTTAATCAGCTTGACTCTTTAAAATTTAGTTTGAGCTATGATATTTGTCTTATATACTCTCAACGTATAGCTTCAGTTACCAGTTTTTAACTGAAAATCCCAAATACTCCTAAAAAAAAAAAAAAAAAAAAAAAGAAGAAGAAGAAGAAGAAGAAGAAGAAGAAATTACCACATCTAAAATACATCTTTGGTCTATGAAAACTGAACTAAATGGACAATTAAGGACTCTAATGAAATTATACCAACATAAGATTCATTCATTTCCACCTTGGCTTTTTTTGGTTTTTTTTGATATAGCTTTTTTCTTAATTCCTTAATTTAAATAAAGCTTTCTAGTCTCTCTTGCCAGGACATCCATAACAATGCTTCACAGCTATCGATGCTGCAAATATGGACACTTGAAAACATTCTTCACAGAAATTATATTAAGTGTCACCTTATCTACCCAAAAAAAGATGTAATAAAAAGCAAACAGGATGGAACATACTAGTGGCTACATCCTCACTCTCAATACTACTAATAATGTCATTAATTAGAGTTAATAACAAAATCTTGTAGTTACAGGCAGAGCTGATGTAAAGCATCGTCTCCTTAGTAAAAAAAAAAAAATTATTTTTTATAAAAATCAGGCTATTAAAAAAACATTACCCCACCAGCACCCAGAATAAGGATGAGATGCATTTAAAATTTTTCATTTTGGTCTTCACAGTGGCAAAGGAACTTTTATCAATGTACAAAGTATAAACAAATAAAACTTTGAAGTAAATGACAGAACCCTTGCCACTAGTGGTATGTGACCTTTGGTGGTAGAATAAAATAAGATTTCTCCCTGATCTAAAAAAAGAAAGAAAGAGAGAAAGAGAGAAAGAGAGAGAGAGAGAGAGAGAGAGAGAGAGAGAGAGAGAGAGAAAGAAAGAAAGAAAGAAAGAAAGAAAGAAAGAAAGAAAGAAAGAAAGAAAGAAAGAAAAGAAAGCAAGCACACCTTTAAAAAGAAAATAAAGGGGCGCCTGGGTGGCGCAGTCGGTTAAGCGTCCGACTTCAACCAGGTCACGATCTCACGGTCCGTGAGTTCGAGCCCCGCGTCGGGCTCTGGGCTGATGGCTCAGAGCCTGGAGCCTGTTTCCGGTTCTGTGTCTCCCTCTCTCTCTGCCCCTCGCCCGTTCATGCTCTGTCTCTCTCTGTCCCAAAAATAAATAAACGTTGAAAAAAAAATAAAAAGAAAAAATAAAAAGAAAATAAAAAATGTTCACCTTAACAAAACTATCCATAATATCTTCTTTTACAAACAAGATTTCTATCCCACTAATTTTTTCAACACTTAACAGTCATGAATCTTAAAATTATACCTGAATATTCTGTGTGTGTGGAAAAAGAGAAAGTCATTTCTCAACTTGTCTGATAAAGAGGCATTATAAGATACCAACTTTTCTGTGACACCCAGTACAGCTTTATATATTTTCTCTCATGGAAAGCTTAAATGCCAGACACATTTTTAAAAAGGACAAACACAATTGATCTTTTCATCACTACAATCTTCTGAAATAGAGTTGATTGATGATTCCTAGAAACAAAAAAAGTTAGATGTCCTAGTTTTCCCAAATTCTAATGTTTCCCTAGTGATTACCAAGTAAAAGATTAATATGCTGAACTTGCTTATTCTACTTATTTCTCAAAGTTCAAAATCTAGAACTAAAAAATAAGGATGAAACAGCTATGTTTTGTGCCAATAAAGTTAGTAAGTAATCACAGATCACCAACCTGTGAAGAGTCTACAAATGAAGGCATAACCTTTGCAAATTCTTAAAATACAGGAGTAAAATTTCAGACAAAACAAGCAAGCAATAAAAAGCAATGCATGTGGATGTGTTTTCAGAGTCCGAGTGATGTTCAGAAATAAGAACTACAAATGTAATTCATAGAGCTGAAGACAAGAGACTTCAGTGAAACTTTACTTGGGACAGTGGAAACTCAAGTTTTTTCTTTGTACAGCATTACAAATGGCACGTGGAGACTTATCCGTAATATTTATTATGAAGCCTAAATTTTGATCCAATTTGCACTGAACAGTGACATGAAATTATGTCTATGCTTTTGGAAACTTGAGGGGTAAGTTTTAGGAGCTTTCCAAAATAAATTACTTAAAGTACCAAATATATATATATTTTTTGGAAGCAACTAGCACCTCTTTACATTGAAAACATTCAGAGTTCATTTCACAAAGTATTTCCTAACCATAACAGTTTAATGAAGCACATACCTTTGCCTTCAACTTGAGAGTAATTAAATGCTTTCTACCAGAAGCATCTTCAGCTTTTAACTTGATGGTACTGAGACAAGTATCCACAAATACAAGTCTGGTGAGTAGAAGGAAATAAAAAATGATCATGCTAGGGAGGGCAAAGTTGGGGGGGGGGAGGGGGAGGTAAAGGATGGTAGAATTCAAAATGAAAATATCTGCTGCATTCCTATTAATCCATTACAAAAATTAATCCGAGGAATTTCTGCATGCCAGCCCTTTATGCAGCTATAGATTTACTGCCGTTAATACACCAGCCTGGTGCTTAATGCAGTCATAGATCTCTGGATTATTTACAATGTGTGTCAAGGCTCATGCTGTGGTCAGTGAGCACTATGTTTCGGTTTTCCATCACTGGAACCTTTGGCACACACAGCATGTTGCTGTCAGCTTCTACTTATGTACACATTAAACTTCCTGTCAAACTCTTTGATCCATTTCTGTAGTTTCATACAGTATGAGACTTTTGTGCTTCCTTTATTTGTTTTTCTTTTCAATGAACTTCTCCTTTATTATCAATAATGTTAGTGTACAAAAATCTGGCTGATATTAGTTCATATACTCAATTGATGCTCTAAGGAAAAGGTTATATAAGCACAGGTACAGTCCAATCTGGTAACAATAAATTTTCTTTTTGTGCAATATACAGCTTCTGACATTTAACCTGGACATGCATTCAAGATGACTAATATTTTAAACCCATAGCACAAGCACAATTGTTTCTGGCTTTAAGTTGCTCTAAATGCATGAATTTTCTACAACGGAAACCAATACCCTTTGAAATACATCATTCTGTAAAAATATGGTCCCTTGAGTAGTATAAGCTACTGCCAAAAAGGTTCAAATTTAGCAGTATATTTACTAGTGAACTGGGCATGTGGATATTTTTTGACATTTTTACAATACTATTCTCTTGTAAAGATAAAAAGTAGCCTAAGAGTATTGCACAACTTATCACCCAGACTGATGGTGAGACCCATTAGAGTTCAGAACTAACATTAGCCTCCTCACCTAGGAAACATTTCTTTTAACATCACTATATGCCATCTAGTCACTAGCCAGATGTAATGGTAAAATGGGTCAATTTCAAGAAATGCTGGGCAATAGTTGTGGAACACTGCTTGTAATAAAAAATAGATCTAAGTCTGAAGATCTGGATCCTCAAAAATAGAATAAGAAGTAAAACAAAACAGTCTTTATCAACAGAAGAAACATGTATCCTAAACTATGCAAAGCCTAGGGTCCTAGAAAATAAATGAAAGCAAAATTATTCTAGAAAAAAACTATTTACATTAAAATATTAATGACTTGTAAGTAAAAGAAAATAATGGTTATATATCTGTAAACATCTCCCCAATCCCCTACCCCCGACAGTTTAGAACATGAGACTTCGTCACACGTTTCAAAAGACGACTCTAAGGCTCTGACTCTAAAAACGCTGACACTTCAGATTCAAGACGTTGAGACATGCATTCATATTCTCTCTAATCAAAACAGAACCAAGGAATTTTAAAAAGTTACAAATAAACAGTTAACAAAAAGAACAAGAAGGAACAAACATTAACAAAACAAATTTCCAACAGCTATTATAAAAATGAAAAGTGGTTAGAAAAGCACTGGGTGACAAAACAGATTAGAACAGGAAGAAAAGAAGGCTCCAGAGGGTAGACAGTGGGCAAAAAAAGGAAAGTTTGTATAATACGGAGAATAGAAAGTATGACTTAAATACAAGATGAAATTAAGAAAAATTTTTTAAAAATGCAAGAAACCAAAAAGGAATGAGGGAATTTTAAGTGAAGTTATAAACAATAAAGCTATGACAAAAACTGTAATTGCTCCACCATTAGTTTTTCAGTGAAAAGCATTTATGTAGTCATTAAAAATTTAGCTGCTTACTAATTATGATTTTTAGAATCCAGCAACAGACAAAACTAAGAGACTTAATTATAGTTATAGAAACTAATGTAAATATATTTGACCACGGCAATTTAAAAGGAAGAGAGGACAAAACTTGAGAGATAGAAGGAAAAGATATGAGGAAGGAAGATCAGGGACACTAAAATTTGTAATTGCTAATTTGAGAGTAAGAGATACCATCTTTAATTGAAGGGACATGAAAGAAGTGTAAGAAATATTAAAGCTAACAGAGGAATAAAAGAAGAGTGAGGAAGGGAAAGAAAAGGTAGTATGAGAGCCAAATCCTTTTCTACTATAATAATCGGTATGTAATTTCCAAAACTGATAAATCAAGTTATATTGAATAAGGCACATTATTTAGAAATACGGAAGTTGTGAACATGAACATTTCAGTGAACGTGAACGTTTCAGTGTCTACCTTAAAGACTAAGAGCAGGGATACAAAAATGGTGTGGAGGAAAAAAAAAAAAAAAAGACTGCTGCTCTTTATCATAAGCCCTAAGTAGTTTACAATCATGATAAATATATAGACACAGAGATAACAAGAGGGGTGGGGAGAGAAAAGGAAAGACTAAATCATTAACCAGTATGATTTCACACTGCTGCTCAGCATCAAAATATTAAAAGTTACTGAACATCTATAAAATAAGATAGAAATAAAAGTTCTGGTCTTTATGCAATTACACAAAAAATTATCTTCCCACAAAGTTTAAGACAGAGGAACTACATTAGATATGGCCTTGCTGTCAAAATGATCATAACGTTAATTCTGCTGAACTTTAAGAAGTAATTCAAATAAAGTATCAAAACAATGTTTGTAATTGCAGGTTAATCTCAGCATAGTCATTTAAAATTAAGCATTTTACCCATGCTGATGCCTGTCTACTTTGTATAAGGGACAGGAAGAAACCTTATTCTAAATTATTAACATCTTGGGTACACATTTGCTAAACCAAATTTTAGCAGGGTACATCCGACAGCTAGCAGTCCTTCCAGCTGCACTTGGATGTCAGCATATCACTAAATCTGGCCGATGACCTGTAAGCAGTGATTTGTGCATCTCTTGAATCATTTGTAACGAAACCACGCCTTCTCCTCTCCCTACTCCTCTCATTCTCCCTGCCTGTACACTAGAACTTAAGCCAACATAAGCCAGCAAAGACCATGCAGACAAGAACAACGCTCTTAGAGCAGCTCTGACCAACAGAACCTCTGCTAGGATGGAAGTAGTCTATACCTGCACTGTCCAAAACAGCAGCAACAGCCACATGTAGCTATGAAGAACTTAAAATACATTAAAACTGAATTTTTAATGTAATTTAAATATAAATATCAATAGCCACATATGGCTAATAACTACTGTACTTAACAATGCAGCCAGGGTGGGGCGCCTGGGTGACTCAGTCGGTTAAGCATCGGACTCTTGATTTTGACTCAGGTCATGACCTCATGGTTCAAGGGTTCAAGCCCCACATCGGGCTCTGTGCTAATGGCACAAAGCCCGCCTGGGATTCTCTCTCCCCGCCCCCCCCATCTCTCTCTCTCTCTCTCTCTCTCTCTCTCACACACACACACACACACACACACACACACATACAATCAATAAATTTAAAACCAAGCAAACAAAAAAATGCACCCAGGGTGGATGGTTGAGAAACAAAGAAACTTGAGTTCCTGGATGACCTTATGGACCAAACAGAGCCACGAACTCCCTCCTGAACAGCTTGCCTACCTCTCAACTGTTAAATGAGAGATGAATAAAATTTTATCTTGTTTGAAAATTGAGAATTTGGTGTTCTCTTTGTTAATTGCACCTTAGCTTGTACCCTTACCAACAGAATGTATTTCTACCCACAATAAGAATAGTATCTTATTATTTGGTGTATGGAAGAGATATTAAGGGAGGGGAAAAAAGTAATAAACTGTTAACAAGTAATATTAAAATCAATTTATCTAAAAAAAGCCTATTTCAAATGTTCTGCTTTATTGTAAAGTTGGGTATCTCAATTTAGACAATATGGAATAACTGTAGTAGTTTTCACTCATTCAAGTAACATATAAATTCATATAAATAATAAACAGGAAAGTCGTCACTTTTGACAAGCTCACATTTTTGAAAAGTTATAAAATCACATTTAAAATTTATATTTAGAAGTTATTACTTATTTATATTTAGGTGTTCTTACTTAGCTAGGCATAATCCAAAATTGACTAAGAAAGTGTAAACATACAAATATAAAACCTAAAGAAAAAACTCTATTTTTGGCACTTTACTTTGTATTTATCATTTGCTACATTTCTTTACAAGTTACTGCTTACAATAAAATGGCACTAAACTTGACAGTTAAGTTTTTTAAACATTTGAAAAGGACACTAATTCTTAAGCTTACCAGAGGTTTTTGCTATTCACATTAATAGCTGAATGTTATCAATAGAGAAAAACAGAAGAAAATTGCTTTGTAACACTATCCTTAGTTTGACCAACAGCTTAAGTTACATAGTTTTTCTTTAAACATCTAAGATGCATGGGTGCCTGAGTGGCTCAACAGGTTGAGGTTGAGTGTCTGACTCTTGATTTCAGCTCAGGTCATGACCCTAGGGTTGTGGGATCCAGCCCTGTGTCAGGCTCCATGCTGAGCGTGGAGCCTGCTTGGTATTTTCTCTCTCTCTGCCTCTGCCCCTCTACCTTCGTCGCACTCTCCCTGTCTTGCTCTCAAACAAACAAACAAAATTAAAATAATATAAAATAGTTGCATTTATGCAGCAATAACATCAAAAGGCAGGTTACAGACCTTCATATTTTAATAAAGCATCAATTCCATGTTTACCACCACCCTCAAGTTTAAGCATTAACTACTTCAAAAAACCTCCCTAATTGGTATTTTTTTCTTGTATCTTCTGTATACATCAATCTACCCTGTCCTCCCATGGCTAAATTAATCTCCCTAAGTACTTTTTAAATTGTATCAACCTCTTGCTCAATAACAGTCAAGGAGTCCCCATCACTTGCATATAAACAATCCTTAGGCTAACAGTCAAGACCTTTCGGTCTGGCCCTGATATTAATCCTCTTAAGTCAACAACTGATCTCCAAAGTCCAAAGATGAACAGCACATTTCCAGCAGTACAAACTTGTTTCTA